AATAGCCAGTGATATATATATGGGTACAGGAGGAAGCCCTGCTGATTCTAGGGGAATGAACTCAGTCCTTCCCAACCTGAGATTTTATTGCTCTCATAAATGTTGTATTAGCTAGTATGAACCATGAAATTACTCATTTATTTTAAAAGCCTGAGCATTTTGGTTTGATGTCCTTCAGTTGTAGTTAATTCTGTATATTTATGCCTGAATGAAGTTTCCTTTGTTTATATAAAGTGTATTGGGCAGTCACCTCTGATATTTTGTAACATGTGCAAAGGGAAATAAGACTATTAATCCTTTTTTGATTCATCTTAGTAGTTAACTCTTTGGATAGTTGTTAAGCAACTGCTTTAATATTCTTGCATGAGAGTCCTAAACACTGGAGGAGATCCAGGTTGTGGATTCCCTCTGTTCATTCTGTGGTAGCATTTTTTTTTCCCAGAGGAGGAAAGGAGAGAGGGGAATTCCGTGCCTTTCTTTGGAATTAAAAGCATCTTTGCAAGGTATGACAGTTAGGCTTGTGCTCAGTTAAGTGTCAGGTTTCTAGTTTTGCCGTTGCTGCCTTGCTTACCAGTTTTTAGATGATTTTTTTTTTTTGTAGGGTTTGATTAACTATCTTGGAATTCAGTTGGCCCCTTTCGGTCTTTTTAAGTTGATCAGCCAAATTTATGATGTTAACAATGATCTCTGATGTACTAGAATAAGGCTAGGCCCTTGATCTCTCAGGTTGCTCAGCTTTTGATGCCATGTCTTTGAAGGGATGTTGATATTTTCATAAATCTCAGCAGAACTGCAGTGGGGTGGTTCCAGCCTTCATTCCAGAAGCTCTCGGAGGAGTGGTGTTCACTCCCGTTTCCTGGTGGCTTGCTCAAGATGTGTATGTGAAGTACGTATCCAAGGGAGAGTGAGATGTTCTGAGCTGGAATAATCAGTGTCCCACTGCATCTTTTCACGGGGTTGGAAACCGTAGTGGTCTGATACCATCTGCACACCAAATGTGCTGGTGCTTAACATTCTAGTGAGTGGGCAAAAAGGGAACATAGCCTCCCTTGATCACTGAGCTAAAATGTTACAGGAGATAATGCCTCACAAAAATTGCTGCTTTGTCTTCTTTCTCCTATGTTTTCTCTGTGGGATTTCCTTAATTTGTGCCATTTTCAACTGTTTTGGTAAGTGTTCATGCCACTTAACTAGTTACTGGCTAAAATCTAATTCATCTAGCTGAATATATCAGAAAGAAAGTTGAGGTTTTCAGGCAGTGAATATTTACAAGGATGCGTTGGTCAAAACTTTTGTCCATCTCTTCTCTAAAAGAAATCACAATTATTTGAACATTCACTGTACTCAAAAGTCAAAAAAAAAAAAAAAAAAAAAAAGAAAAGGAATCCACCTGTGTTGTTAATACAAGTAGTATCCAAAGCTTCTCAGTCATCTGATAAAAGAATCGAAGTACTCCTGCAGTGATGCTAATTGCAAGGTCTGTTTCTTAGGCTGAGCCCTTATAGTGGAAGCTCCCAGTGTGGAACTTTCCTTCTACTTTTCATTTTCCTGCACAGGAATATTTAAGGAGCACTTAAGATTGCTTTGGGTACAGTCAAGCATGTTGGTATTTAATTCCCTGCCTTTTTAACTTTTTAAAGGCATGATAGCAGTTCTCCATTTTCAGATATGTTTTCTTATTGTGTTGTGTTGGTGGGTATTTTAAAGGTCTTTTTTAAAGCTTGCTGAGGGTAAACCAGCTGACTTCTATGCTTGCTAGAGTCTGCTCTTTGTTATGCAGAGTAGTGAACATTTTGTTTAGTTCAGTTAAAATTTCTTCCCACGTTAGAGCTCAATTCTAGTTTAGCCTCCTCTCTGTGCTTTTCTTTAAGTGCTGAAAAGGCACACGGACCCCGTGTGTTTGCATTTCCAAGATGTCCCAATGGCAATGTGTTCTCAGTCCACTTTGAACTAGGCCAGAGACTGAGGTGGAATTTTCCTGCCAAATATAATAAGGGTCGATATTCTGTGGTCTGTGGATATTTATTGAGGAGAAGGAGAGAGAGAAAGGTCACATTTAGATTTTTGATGGAATTTTGGCTGAACTCTTTACACTAATAAGATTTTATTTATAGCTTAGCCTCTATTGAGAAATGCTTTGCACAGTTACAAACTGTATTTTTTGTGGTAACCTTGTACTGTGTAGGAGCCTATGTACAGTGTAGGCAATAATTTGCTGAAGGAACTCATGTAACCTAAGTGTTCTGTACTGGCATATCTCATTTTTGACACACTGATATGGAAAAGTAAAAATAGTTTTCTGATTCACTTCCTCGTGCTTGAATGTGTCTCTGCACTCGCAAGCTCTTTAGTTATTCATGTGTTACTCGAACTCCAGTGCAGTTCAGACATTCTCTTCTGCACCAGCAGTGAGAATAGTACATGGCGGTCTTAAAATTCATCTCTAGCTTAATGCAGAATCGCAGAGTTAATTTAATGCCTTGCTGCAAAGGGAATTCATTTGGTAAGCCCGGATAAAATGAAACTTCACATATTTTTGAGGTGAAATTCAACGGCTAAGGATGAAGTAGTATGATACGAGTTCAATCCCCCCTTCTCCTGCCCAAGGATGAATTTACTTCTGAATCTGCTGTCTGGTGCCAGCAGTTCCACCACATCACAGAGCTGCTGAGGGGAGGTTGTTTGCGTCCTACTGTAACTGACAGAGCTATAGGAAGAACCAAGTCTGCTTTCCAATGGAGTTGTTACATATATTCAGCAGGTTACACTGCATCTGGCAGTGGCACACTAATGAGTATTTAATCTGAACCAAAATCACCAAATTCTTGTCTCGAGGATATTTCGTAAGTTGCATATAGAGCCCCAGTCTGGGCAGAGGACATGATGCATATAGCGGTAGCTGGAACAGTCTGCACCATTCCTAGGTCCTGCAGAACCAACAAGCAAGGGAAGAGGTCTGGGACTGAGACCAATGCCTTACATTCCTGTTTTAAAAATAGTCTTTTGTGTATTCTTGCCATTTACATGGAGTTTGGGAAGCTGAGGCTGCAAGAGTCTTGATATGTGGTGGACTTCGGCATGCTGCACACTTAAAAAGTGGGATGTTGTCAAATGTGAGCAGTGCCCTGTGTTTTCTGTGGGTGATAGTTGCTGCCTTAAGCAGTTGTAGAGGTTCTGGTAGGGATGAGGCTTTGGCCATCAAAGGACCGGTTTATTCCTGAGTAGTACAAGACTTGTAGTACTTGGCAGATATACATACACACACACACAGATCTGCATGTGGCTGTGTAGTAACTGGCTCCCAAGCAGAGCTTTCAGCTAGGATTAGGCTGAGGAAATCTGTAGAAACCCAAGTTATCCAAGTGAATTTTGCAGAGCCTCTAGAGCTCAGAGGCAGGCTGCTGTCAGCTGCAGTCAGTGTCTTTGTAACTGTTCACGTCCATATCTCATCTGAAAATGCACGAGCCAAAAGGTGTAATGAACTGTGTGGTTATTGGGTTGGTTGGAAGAGGCCTTGAAAGGGTCTGAAGATTTCAGCTTTTGTTCCTTGGGTACAGGGGACAGTGCTTGGGTTAGGGTTTGGGAACAAAGCACCTGAAGAGCATGAGGGAGAGGAGGGAGATTGTTTGATGGATACTACAGAAGGCACAAAGTTGGGAAGAGTGCTGGTGGCAGTGTTAGTTAATGCCTTATGGACTTTGTGTGGAGATGAGCAGTCTCAGTGCAGTTAAGATTTGGGTTAGTTTGATGTCTGTGGTTAGGGCCTGAGCATCTAAAACTGTGAGAGCACAGTTTACTGCCAGATCTTGTAACTAGGAGGAAGCCCATGCAGAAAGTGGCCAGTGACACCTTCTGCTGTGGGCACTGGTTTCCTGAATGTAATTATGGTTAGGTCACGTTCTGGGAATCTGACAGGGCTCTTGCTGGGTGCTATGTACTTTATTTTCTTTGGCTTTCTACTCCATCTCCTAAATGAGATCCAAGTGCAAATAGAGTATACTCAGGCTGGGAGAGCTGTTTCTAAAACAGCTTTAAAAGTATGCTGTGCTGTTTGCCATTCTCTGGGACCCGAGGCACTTAACATTTTGGCTTTGATCTTCTCACTTGCAGCCAATGCAGACCACGCCTTCCCTCAAGATAAAGCAGCATTTTCCTTCATGGTTGGTAGTATTCTTGGGGTATGCTTTTTTGAACCTCAAGCCACGGTGGATAAATAGGTGTAATGTTGGAAGTCTGCAATCCCAACCTTTCTATTTGCAAAGACAAAGTGAATGATAGGACTTCAGCCCAGTTGTAAGAGACTTTACAGTTTAAGAGGTTCCTTATGTGCCATGATACCTCTAAATTGTAGGTATTTGTCTTGACGCTTTGCTTTTTAAACAGAAACACACCAGGGATTTGGTAGTGACAGCAGATGCTGACAAAATCAGTATCCCACTGAGGATGCTTTGGATCCAAGGTTAGAGATGAAAGAAACAGTAAATCGATGACTTGCACTCTCCGTGATTCACATAAATTACAGATAATAAATTCTTCCCCCTAAAGCAGACTGGTGCTCTTAGAGTGTCGTAAAGCAAAACTTTTGGCAACTGTTGTAATGTGGGAAGGTGCTGCGTGTATTTGCTGTGTTACACAGCATGAGTTTGGTTAGGCAGCTCTAGCTGCAAGAAGCAAGTACTGTGATTTTCAGGATGGGCCGAGTGTCACTTAATTCTGTACAGCCACAACACTAGTTGTGTCTTTCAGATGGTGCTTCTTCGCTCCTCTTGAGGGGAGGGGGGAAAGAAACTTCATTAGAAGAATGCCAGTCAATGACAGGACAATAAACAATTGTCTAAAAATGTTAGAAAACCGTGTTTTTCTTTTTGCTTAAAAGCAGTATGCAAGGAACTTTACGTCATAGGTATGTGCTAAGAATTTGCTAAAACATAGTGATATGTATGAAGAACACATTTGTCTGTCACTGGTGTATCAATGCTTTTTAAATGCTTTGTTTGCAGGCCTTTTTGCAAATGTGCAATCTGCCGGTCCGGGTGGTTTGCAGGGCAAATGCCGAGTACATGTCCCCATCTGGTAAGTGCGGCCTTCATTTAGCTTACTACATTACACCTCCAGTTGGATGCCATGGCAACTGTGCCTTGTCTTGCTGATAAGTCAGTCCGTGCTACATGTCTGGGATGCCTTCCCCCTCCTCTCCGGTGCAGTTTCTTTCCTGTAAACAATTAAAACAATTAAATGTAACGTAACGATGGTACAATACGTAAGGAAGCCTGTGAATGCCATCCTTAGGTGTAGCAGACAGTTCAAATGCCTGGTGGCAACCTTCTCTAAAAAGCTGGAGGACTGTGAGTTGAAACAAAGACGTTTCCAAAAATGCATTTAATCTGCATCCAGGGAATATTCCTGCTGAATGGTACTGTATTTTGCTGTTCCTGGGGTGAGACAAAACTGGAGAGAGTACCTTTTGTTACCTTGTCTGGGAGATGGTGGCAGGTATGTAAATACAGGGGAAGAATGCATTGTCACTCTTACGGGTGCCTGGTGGTTTTAAACCTCTCTCTGATACCCAGAGAAAACTGCTGAATGCAGGGCTCACAAGTCTGGCAGTCAGTGCGCTCCTGCTCAATTTTTGTTGTGTTACAAGATATTATTTGCCAATTGCCTGGCTCTAGCTGACGCTTGCCATATGGAAAGGCCTGTCAGTATGTCTGCCGACTGTACGAGTTCTGCTGCTGCTACTGATATTTCAGTCAAAGCAGCTGGAGTTATACTATTCAGAAAAAAGGAAAGCTGCTTGGCAGCAGTGAAAAATACCAAAATATTTACCTTTTGTAGGTAAAGATAGCTTTAGAATGCTGAATATCTACACAGAAGAGCTTCTTAGATCTGCAGGAGTGTGACTGGTGGCAGCTGCATGCCCCCTCTTCTTTGCCATCCATAACCCATGTCCACACTTGCTGGCATCTGACATTTTCCCAGTTTCCTTTCTTTACCACATTTTCATTCTGTAAGGATAATTTGAAAAAAGTTTGTATTTGCACCCTTGCCACCACCCTCTGTCTCTAGCAGTGGTAGACAGAGATCTGCATCTCATCGCTTGGGGGTGAAGGTTATTTACTTTGTCGTTGTAATGACAAAATCCATTCTGAGGGAGTCAAAAGTGGAATACTAAAGGATTGTCTTTGTGTGGAAAGTGCAGCCTAGCTGAAATCATTGAACTCTGGAGCTCAGGAAGGTCTGCGTTTCCTTTCGCAGTATGCAGCGTGTGGATGCAGATGGAGCCTTTGTTGGTGTGGTGCACTTCATTTATTACCCTTAGGCCAACTGAGCCAGTGAAAGGGAATCTCGGGATAAAAACCATGACTGAATGCTGCGAGCATGAACTCTGTTTGAACTAGGCCTAACATTAGGTTTTATGTGTTTCAGTGGAAAGGAATGCATGTATTGCTAATAACATATTTGGAGTCAGGCAGGTATTGATGGATCTTGCTCTTTGGGCTCTCTGTAGAAAGCAGTTTGCCCACAGCACGAGACAGGAAAGCATGTACTGTGCCCCATTGTACTGGGCAGGCTTGTTTGCTGTCTTTAGTCATGAGGGCCTTTTTGGTGATACAAAATGTCCAGCATTTGTCTCCACTCTATGGCCGACTTCAGTCATGTAAGCAGTCGTATAAGATTTAGTCTTAAACATAACATGGTACTTAAGGGTGGAGTTTGTCAGTTGCATTTGGATGAAGATCTACAGAATGAGCAGTGTGTTTAGGGTGGATTGAAGCAGGAGCACTCAACTTCACATGCTTAAAGCTGTGAAAAAGGGGCATTTGGCAACTTCTGTCATTCTTTGTGCTTTGCTGCATGTAACATTGCTTCCTCGCGGCTTGGGTCTGTGTGTAACAGAAGTCACCACGCAGAGAACATGGTCCATGCAGGCTCAGGAGCCTTCCTTCCTTCACACCATCACAAGTTCCACCAGTTAACAGTCACTTCCCAGATCCCTTTTGTGGACTGGCTGGTTTTAGTCCTGCCCCATGCTGGGCCTTCTGGGCTGAGCTATATAGACTGAGTGTTGATCTGATATTAAGCTTTAACACAGTTTTGCTTCCATGACAATGAAAAAGCTCCCGACCTCCTCCAACTCCTCAACAGGGAAAATGTGGGTCTAATGCTGTTCCTGACCCCAGAACCACAGTGCCCTAAAAAAATGCTCTCCCACAACCAGAGGGTGAAGGCTGGGGCAGTTGTCAGGAGCCAGTTGGCCCAGTTGCTGGAAATCTGAAGAGCTGGAGGAGGGAGAGTCAAAATCCTGCCTTGCTGAGTGTGCATTTCGCTTCCCCCTGCTTGCTTTTCTGGGCACAGGGCCACCTCTCCTGTCATCCTTTCAGCAGTCCTTTCCCTGCTAGTGGGTTAGAAGGGAGGGTGGGAACGCGTTGCTGTCAAACTAGCCAAGGGCTCTGTCTGCTTTCCTGGGATTTCCCAGCTGTACTTCAGATAAATGTTGAATTTGGTCTTTCCAGCAAAACAAAACCCATTATTAAAATACAAGTCAATAGATCTCATTCGATAACTTTGAAATACACAACTGCAAGTCCTGCATGTAAAAGTGGGTCGGGAGGAGGAAGATCAGGCAGTTATGTTTGTTATTACAAATTAAAACTGTGTGAGCTATGTATCTAAAAACTTTACCTGTGCTTGTTTAAAAATAAAACCAAAAGCAACAACAACAAAAAATGTGTTCAGGTGTACCTATAATATTTAATTGCTTTGAAAATATGAAATGTTGTTTTACATGCATAAAAAGCTCTTACTAAAATACATTTTTCATTTTACAGGCAAAGTGCCCTTTATTCACGTGGGAAATCAAGTAGTATCTGAACTCGGGCCCATAGTACAGTTTGTAAAAGCCAAGGTATTCATACATTGTCTTCATCTATTACTGAATAGTGCGTTAGCTCTCCTTAGCACTTGTGCTTATTTGGTGTGCTCCTCTAGGCTGTTACTTCATTTTTTAAAGCAGTGTGGAAGTCAGGTGCCATTTTAAAAGAAGGATGCCCTGAAGTGGGAGTTCGTTGAGGTGGAAATGTTTTTCTTTGATATTACCTTATATTGTGGAAATAAGTTCTGTGCAGACTATATGCATACCAACATCACTTTCTGAGAACCCTTTTCTACGTGCCCTGTCTCAGTTTCTCATAATTCTTAAACTCTGAAATAGCTGGTTTAAATTTTGAAGTGTCAGATACTGTTTGTATTTACCTTTTTTTTTCCTTCAAAAATGTTTGTCTTTTCACTGAGCACCTTGATAAAGCTGTATCACAGATGTAAACTTGTTTACTTCTTGACACAAACATATACTAACTGGGAGGTTGTGTGCTCAAACTGTGTTAAACTGTTCCTGGTAATAGCCTACATTTCTTGTAGGTTAGCTATATCATGTTACGATGATTTCTTTTTCATTCTAAATACACTTTATGTAAAAAGTATGTATGTAATTTGTTATTGAGCTTATGTAAGAGATCAGCATCTGATCCAAAGCTCACTGACTTCAGAGGTCCTTGGGTCAGGCATTGCTGAATACTCCAATATCCTATCTTACATGTCTCTCTTTTTCTCTCCCCATTAGGGCCATTCTCTCAGTGATGGGTTGGATGAAGTCCAAAAAGCTGAGATGAAAGCCTACATGGAATTAGTCAATAATATGCTCTTGACAGCGGAGGTACAGCAAGCCATAGTGACTCCACACACTTTCATAAGTGATTATAGGCAAGAAAGCTTTAGGACTTTTTCCTGTACTGGAAAGGACGGGACTTTTTCCTGTACTTAAGTCTTAGATTAGGTCATCAACTTTGGAGGAGAAATGAGGCAGGAATAAATTCTCTGTATCCTATGGGACTACTTGATGAAATATTCCTGTAAACTCAAGCCACGTGTATGATTCCCCCACCCACCTGAAGTGTGCTGTGTAGCTGTAGAAGTGACTGATTTCTGCAGATGGAAAATGTCAGCAGTTCCTGGGATTCTACCCCATCCCCTGGCTGGCTGGGCAGCCCCAGTGTTGCCTTTCACAGTGCACATGCTCATGTGCCGTGCTAGAAGCTGGGTTACCCATGGGTTGCATCCATGGCCAGTTAACATGATGCAGTTCCAGCACTGGAAATGCTCACAAGCACGTAGCTGAGGGCTGGAAACCTGCGTGTGGAGTTGTGTGCGGCACAGGCAAAGAGAGTGGGTGGGCCTTCGGCCTCAGCTTCGCGCTGGTGCTGGCCAACTGAGGATTAGCAACTGGGCATGTGGCTTCCAGTTTTAATTTCTTTTCTGTGTTCTGAGATCTAATAGAAGGAATTAAATTTAATGTAATATAGAAAAAAAAAATCCACTGGTGAGAAATGATTGTATCTGTATTCTTGTTTATTAGGAAGTTTAGTAAATGTTCTTTCTGTTCCTAGCTGTATCTCCAGTGGTGTGATGATGTTACAGTAGAGGAGGTGAGTGGTTCTGCAACATTTATCGTAATTAAAATTTAATGAGAAAACACTTTTGCTCACAATTGCAAGTCCCTACTTATAAATGAAACATTGAGGTTTGTGCCATTAATGATACAGTCTTTTCGCTTTAATTTTGCTTGCATATATGTTTTAGGGAAGTTTTGTCTTTACTGGAGGTAGATGACTGCAAAATAGATGTGGGTTTTGCGTAAGTTTCTATGGTAATAGTTTTAAGTACTGCAAAATATAAATTCTGCACAAATAGTTGCAACATGTCATGCAAAACCCTTTCTCTTTTACATCTCCTTTTGTGGCAGAAATGTGTGAATATTAGCTATTTTGTAAACAGAGGTATCTGCATTTCTTCTGTTATAACTAAGTACCTTTCTGTTTCTAAAACAAAGATTACCCACCCAAGGTACGGATCCCCATACCCATGGCCTCTTAACCGCATTTTGGCCTATCAGAAGCAGTGGGAGATAAGGCGGAAGATGAAAGCCATTGGATGGGCTGGCAAGTCGCTTGAGCAGGTCAGTATGAAAGGTGAAGCTGATTTGTTCGCCACCTTTTCCTCTTTTATTTAAGATTTCAGAGAAGTAATGCTTTCTTGAAACAGTTGCAATAAAAAATATATATTGTGTACTTTAACATTATCTAGAGTCAGGCATCTACGTTCAGCAGCAATATATCTTAAATCATATGCATTCTGATGGGGTGGGAAGAAAGATGCTTTGCTATATGTGTATTTTTTGCTACTGTTAGTTTACGCCATGGTCCTGAAAATAATTTATAAATTACAGTCCCCCACCTGCTGTGGCATTAATAGTCATGCTTTTCAGGATTGTAGCAAAAAAGAAAAAGGCAGTTTTGAGGTGTAAGTTAGTACTTTTAATTAAGCTAAGTCAAAAATCTTATAGAAAGCACTTAATTTGATGTATGTTAAATGTTAGATTAAATAACACTCAGCCACCTACCTTTAGCAGCTTTTGATGTTCCAACATTGTGTATTCTTTGTTCTCTCTGTCAGGACAAATACAGTAAGAAGGTTATTTTTTTTAATGTTGGTCTTCCCTGACATTATGATTACCTTATCTCTTGTGTGTTTTGATAGGTGCTTGAAGATGTAGATCAGTGTTGTCAGGCTCTTTCCCAGAGATTAGGAACACAACCATATTTCTTCAATAAGCAGTAAGTTACCCTCTTCTGAAATGTTACATCCACCCCTAAAAATATTGTAAAATGTACGTATGGTATATGTAAATAAATATATATATAAAGCATATGAACGTACACACGCATATATGTATATATACACACACCATGTATACTTTAAATATATAAATATAAAAATCTCCTGGTTTATTTCAATTCTGTGTTATTGGTTGAAGAAATTCAAATGCGTGACAGCAATACAAACATGATATTTCAAAAAAAAAAAAGTAATTATAGGTTTTAAAAGGAAAATCTGTTTTTTTTTTTTTTTTCTGTTGATTTAATTTTATTCCTGTTTGTCTTTTATATAGAGTCTACCACATCTCATATAGTCTAAAAATTTGCACCTTTATACAGTTGTCTTTAAATGTGTCTTTTTTTTATAAGAAACTTTACCTGTGTTTAAGTAACATTCTGTACTAGGTACAGGACAGTAAATGTACATCATGCCAGGACAGTTTTTCTGCATGGTTATATGTGCTATATATTTATATCCATATATGCATATATAGATATGCATAGTTATATATATAGTTATGTATATATATACACATATATGTATATATATACACATATTAGATTGCATTGCTGTCTAACAGTTACTCAGAACAGCTATTTTTTTTCTTAATCAGTCCTTACTTTACAAAATACCTGCTTTTTTTTTTTGCCGTTTGTTTTTACAGACCAACTGAATTAGATGCTCTGGTATTTGGACATCTGTTCACAATCCTCACTACTCAACTAACCACGGATGAACTTTCTGAAAAAGTGAAAAACTATGGTAATCTCACAGCCTTCTGTAGGCGAATAGAGCAGCAGTACTTTGAAGGTCATGATAAGGACAACTCTGGAACTGCTGCACCCAGATCTGCTAAGAGGTCCTTACTGAGATAAGAAAGTTACTTGGTTGGAGTGGATTGCAAATCATTCTGGGTCAAGAAAAACTCTAAATATAGTTTTTGTGTTGTAGAACATACTGTGCACATTTAACCTGAAATGACTGTATGGGCACTTCCATTTTAATTCCATATTAATTGGCTATGTGCCACTGCCTCTAAAGTGACCTTTGAAAAGCATCGTATCTGTATTTAAAAATAAATAAAATATTTTAAAAAGTTTATCTGATCTAAATGTCTTTTTTCTTTTAACTGAGCTTTATGTGAATGTAATAGAAGTTTCTGTTCGTCATTATAGCAAAAAGACAAGGAATGCAATTTGCTTGAAATAGAAAACAAATAATTTAACTATGTAATAAAACTAATGATGAGAAAATACTTCTTCCTTCACCCTGTACTCACCAGCCTTTTGTGTGCTTGCACTTCAAAAATACATGTTGACAAAGGGACCAACATTTATAAACTAATGGGTAAAAATAGAGCTCTAGCTCTTATTTTATTTCTCCCCTCCTACTATTCCTATTAGAGTAGCACTTCAACCTTTCTTTACATCCTTGCAATACAAATACATAAGAAACTGCTGCACTTGTGGAAGATCGGTAGTTAGCACCTAAGTCAAAGCTTTCACTACAGAAGGCAAGACTAATTATGAGCAACAGAAGTGCAAGCTTTCTGGTGCTGACCCAGACAGATACTCTGTAAGGAAGAAAAAAGGTCTTTATCCTCATCCTCTGCTTGGACTGCTGGTAGCAATGTCATCATCTGCATCAGCAGTAACATCTGGGGATCAGGCCATGGGAGTGAGCTAGATGAGTGGGATCCTGTTGACAGGACACCTGGAGGATAGCTGTAAAATAGTCCAAATTGCTAAGCTGGAAATAAACTAATGCATTAGAGAATTTAAGTTGCGTTCCTCAGCCAAAATGCCTTCAGGGTCTGGGTGACAAAAATGTCTTGGAGCTTTGCTGCGTATAACTGATGTGATTTTATTTAGTCCTTATTTTATGTCAAAGTAACTTCTGGCTTTCATGGTTTCTTATTATGTGTGTCTTGCCCCTGCTTTTATTTCTTGTTCACCTTTGGTTTTCAGATTTGCATTTTTTTTTCTTTCCTGTGATTTCCCAATTATTCTCCTCAGCTTGTCTTGGTCTGTCTAAAATGAATTTGCTAGCTAAGCATCTGCCTAGCTGTTTCCACTTCCAATATGTTAGTGCTGCTTCTAAACTTTGAAGTACTTGTTTGGGTGGTTCTCTTAGCAAAGGGGTTGGTATGAGACTGGGGCTGACATGCCCTGGTCTTTCTGCCTCCCTGTCCTGTGATGCATGTGGGCACAGTAAAACAACAGTAAGCAAAACCACACAATTGTGGTGCTCCAAAACCTCTGGCAACTTGGAACTCTTCAAGGGATGGTGCCTGTGTGTAGGCCTCTAACTGGTATTTCCTTGAACACATCACCATTTCGCTCTGCTTTCTCAGTTGTGCTTGATGCTTTTCCAGAACTGCTAACAACCCAAGAAATGTGCTGGTGCCAAAACCAGTCCGTGTGCTCAACTGGGAACTTGCTTGAGCAGTCTGACTGGTTGGAACCGTTGTGCCTTGTTCCTATGAAACATGTTCCTTTGACTGCACCTCTTAGTGTCAAAGCACTTAGAGGCTTGAACTGTTATGCAACGGTCACGAGATTTTTGGCTGCCACCTCCTCCTCCTCTCAAAACCTGAGCAGAAAGTATCAGTGTGCCTTGGGTTGACTGGGGCTCTCTTGGCTCTGTGGCTTGTGAACCACTGCTACTTACTCATGCTGCGGGGACCAGCATTGCCAGCTCAACTGGAATAGGGAGCTGAATTCCTACTGCCTTCTTTTTGATACAGGATTCTTCATACTGGAGTTAAACTAAGGTTAGTATCCATGCATAAGTGGGACTTGGCTATCTATCAAATCACTTGCCAACAGAGGAAAATCTCCCTTGTTCTGCATTTCTGTCTGTTTCACAAGCCTGTTTCGTCTGAATATCTTCTCAAATTAAACCCCATCAACTATTGACTGCTTCATGACAGTTTCTGCTATCAGTGGCGGTAGCCAAGATCCCAAACAATCCTTTAGCATTTTCTGCATTAATGCAACTTTGGGAAAAAAAAAATAAAAAAATTCTTAATTTGTGGAGAATGGCATATTATGATATATGCTACTTTGAGAGAAAACTACTCCCTAATGGTCTCTAAAGTTAGCAGTGCTGTGGTGGTAGGGAATCCTGTGTGAAAAAATGAAGTATCTTAATCCAGGGTGATTACATTTGGCATTTACTTCCCATTATGTTCAGAGCATCGTTTATGACTGAAGGTTTTAACTTAGCTTCTGTGTTTTTGGCAATCCTGCTACCAGTAGTTTACTTGATGGACTTCAAAGCCACCTATGCGCAGGCATTAACTTATATACAGCTTGGCACTGCAGGTGGCCATGTGTTCCTCCTCTTTTAAGGCTGCAGAGGCCATTAGTCAATTTGCTACCAAATTTTAGAGAATGCTTTGAAATGACAGCATTAAATTAAGCCATGTTTTTACATTTTGGCAAGAACAGGTTTCCATGAGGAAGAAGCAGTGGTATACAGCACTTTGAAGGCTGAACAGATAGTCCTTGCAAATTTTGTGTGGTAACACCTAGTGCACTTTTAACTTCAGAGGGAAACAAACAAACAAACAAACAAAAAAACTACTGAGGTAGCCATATGCATGAACCCATTTTGAATGTCTCATCTAGAAATACATCTAAATGCTGTGGAAGTGGTTTGGCAAAAGATAGTGATCTTTATTACAAGCAAAGTTTTGTAAATCTATCTCAGCTACTCAGACTACACTTAGGGATATGGAGACAGGCAAATTACTTGGAGTTTTCAATACTGAAGTGAGAGGACATGCAGAGACTGAGATCTGAAAGTTTAACCACCCCTCTCCTTGCTCGTTTAGTGCAACTTTGATAACTTCATTAGTAAAACAAAATTTAAAGGGGAAGGGCTATTTTTGACTTCCTTAAGAGCGAAATTATTCACATGGCATGTTCAGACTGCACATCCTTCTAGGCAGTATCTACATTTAAAACTAAGAAAAATCTTGGCTTTGGTGCCAGTGCTGAAGATAGCTATTTAAGTCATAGGCAAAGGATGTTGTTCTTCATAAATCAAGAAATTATGATGTGATGCTTCTTTAAGTAATGTTGCTAGCATGCGTATTGCTACAGAGCAGCCTGAGCTGAACACTGAGGACCCAAGCTTGCACACCATGCTTTAACATGGGGAAGTCACAGTCATATAAAGGATACTGATTGCTGCTGAACCTCTGTGCACAGCTCAAGAAAAAAGAATGAAAAGTTGAAACATGAGCAGCAATAAAAAGTGGAAGACAAAAACAAAAACCAAACCCCAAACCTAATAACCTTTATAACAAGGGAGTTGAGCAAGTCAGTCTACTTGCCTCATCCACGGCAAAGCAAAGAGGTCTTTCTGTTAGTCTGAATAGCCCTCCAGGAGACAAAGTCTATGAACGTGCAGTCTTTGAGAGTTTTACACTTGGATTGTGTCTTTTTCTAGAAGACAGCCCCTGACTGAGTGAAGTACAACTGCACCAGAAGCAGGAATCAGGTCAGGGAGGCCTATGGTGTGTCTCATGGAGCAGGACAGTGTGGATGGTGATTTTCTTTTACAGCTTTTCAAGCTCAAAAATCCTAAACTCCCAGAGGCTGTTTGGGTGAAGCAAACAGACAGCTGGAACTTCTTGTTTCCTAAAATTAAGATGAAAATTCAGTTTCTAACAAGAGGGACATCAGAAGCAGCTGCACCATGCACCAATGTACATCCTCTAAATATGCTCTACCATGAACTGAAAGAGTCACTCAGCCAAAATGGTACAAAGTCATAAAGGCACTCATATCTACAAGTGAATGGACATTTTCACCAGGAGCTTGGCAGGTGGAGGTGTGGGTCCCGTGAGCTGCATGTACAACATAGGAAATGGAGCAACCATCCTGCTCCACTGCAGGCAGTGGCAAAACAGCCCGTGATGAGAAAGTGGCTAGGATTTCAGCCTCAGGCTTCACAGTGCTGGATCTTGGTTTTCAGCTGGTAGCTTCTCCTGAGCCCCTGCTTTTCCTGTGCCTCTCTGAAGGCAGCTTTCCTGGATGGGGTAGCCTCTGATGCTGCATTTTATAAAGTGGTGGGATTACCAGAGAGACATTAGGTAAAGGATCTTTAGTTTTAGCAGCTATTCCTAGGATTTATCACTCCATACATCAGACAGTAAAAATTGCAGTATTGAGTGGTGTTAATGAGATATACATCTGCTATTTTCTCTGCCTTGCATTTTATTTCTCTTCCTCCTCCCCAAGGAAAAAAAATAACCAGGCAATCTCCTGCTTCTTAAAAGTACTTAAAACTCAGTCTAGTGGAAAAAAGAGCCTAGCACAGCCCTGCACATGGTGAATGCTGCTGAGCTGCACTTAATGATGCCTCTTAGGATCAGCCTTGCTGCTAGAAAACGCTTCATTTCCTGTGGCTTTCTTTCTTTACAAGCAGAGTGCAGCTCCAATGGCTCTCACAACAATTATCACCCACTTGTTCTGCAGGTTTGAAGTTTTTTGCATTAGTCAGGTTGAGAAATTCATGGTATTAATCATGACTGAAGTTGTTATTTATCACCTGCTGGGTGAGAAATAATAATTTTGGCACTGCTGGGGCAGCAGGCCAGAAGTACCAAATTAAGTAAAACATCTAAACACTAGCAAGGATCATTTCTCTGATTAATGAATTGTTACAAAGAAAAAGTGCTACTCGTTATCTGATCTTAGGATAAAAGTGGGAGTTGGAAGTAAAAAGCATTAGCAAAGTCAGGCTTTGCTATGATGTAGTTTGAAACTTTCCTGGCTGATCTTTCCTCTGTCATTCACTAACTGTTAACATGCACTCATCTGCGTCAGAGGTTTGCAATACTTGGCTCCCGCCCCATTGCCAGCTTTGCAAAAAGTAGCATTTGGCAAGCAGCTCAAGACCCATTGTGTAATCACCTCGAAAGAAATGTTGAAATAACTTTAACTCGGGGCTTGTCTGGGCTGGAAGGTTTTGCTATAGGAACAGCTACCAGACTGGCAAAACACCATTGTGTGAAGGCAATAATAGGGTGCAGGAATCAAAATAAGCAACATCAGTAGAAGCCTATAACTAGGTAAC